TTTTTTTTGGTCTGTTTTTCCAAGTGCAGCAAGAATATTTTAGCTATAGTTCTGCCAACACAAATCCTGTTTATCTGAGTTCTCTTGTGGTGAGAATGATTTGCCTATAATACAGTTTGAGCAATTTACTGAAAGACTTGAAAGGCAGTCTTTCCTACTTGACAGCTGAGTTTATTTCAAGATTTCCTTAAAGTCTTTAAGTAGCCCTGAATTCTCAGTAGAGAGACCTGGTATCACATATAAAAGGCTCAATTGTCTGACACACACAGGGTGAAATGTGCTTAAGCAAAGTCCTCTTACTTCCCAAAGCATGAGAAGAATAGTTGTTCCTTTGTGTCCGTGGAGCTGGCTATACATTCTTGCATTTAAAAACAGGTAAATACCCTTTCACAGCCAGAAGTCTACTTAAATTCCCTTCCTTAGCAAACACACCCTAAAGGCCTGTCCCTGGCCATCCATGTACATCTCTTCATGAACACGAGTTTTAATTAAATGTCTGCATGCATGTTTGCGATGAGAACGCAGTCAAAACTTGCAGTAATGGATTTTTAATGTATGTATTTGGCAGCAAAAAATAACCAAGACCTATGACCCGCTCTGGGTCATGATGACCCCCATCAGCTTTTGTTCTTTTAACCTTCAGTGGTACTAGGTTAGCTGTTCACTATCTAGCGTGGGCTGATTCATCAGTAGCACTCTTGTATCTGTCCTGAATTATTTCCTTTTGTTTTTTTTTGTTAACGTTTCCTTTATTTTAAGCCAGTGCTGTACAAATAACCTGAAAGTCCGTCTTCGGTTGATGGCTGTGTTGTGACTTGTCATCTTGAAGATGTTCTGTTTGTGGAGCATCAAGGAGCAGGACGGGGTGAGACCAAGGAGCTTTACTGAGCACCTGCTGATGTGGGAAAGCTTTAGTGTGTCTGTGTGTATGTGAAGCAGAATACGATGTCAGTCTGTGATCAACGGTGAGAAAGGAATAGTCCCAGCTGAGAGGAAGTCTTTTCCCAGGAGAAGATGATCCATAATACCAATAGCTACACTTCAGCTCTCTTAAAGTAACAGAAAATGAGATGACTGGTGACTTGACAGGGTTTTTCCAGCAGTTGCTCTGCTCCTCGAATATTAGACAGATGGAGGGAAAGACTGGCAAAATGTGGTTCTGAGGAGCCGTTTCACACCCCGGCGAAGCCCAGCCTGTGATCTCACTGCAGACTGATCCCCTGGTAGCTGGCATAGGTTATCTCAGAAAGTACGCCGAATTCTAGAAATAGCAATAAGCCTGCGGAGTGCTGCCTGCTGCCTGTGATCCCAACACATTTCTGTTTATCTTTCCGTACAGAGGAGTTACCACGTGAATGATTAATTAGAAATTCCCTTTATAATTTGAATTGCAGCATTTGGAGGGGCGAGGGCATGGTAGGGTGCCTTTGTTTAACGGTCTGCGTTCTGCAGATGTCGTTTTGGAGTATGGGTTCCAAGTCTTGCCAACTAACTCTTTTCTTTATTTGTACTGAGTGCATTTGAAGTTGCATCATTTCCTCGGTAAGAAGAGTTTTATTTTTGACTGGAGTGTTTGTCAGGTGGGAGAAATCCTAAATGTGAGTGCTCTCTGGTGGCGAAGATTTCTGCTTCAGTTTTCTGATTTCTGCAGTGTAATTTCCAATGGCAATTGGATGTGAACATGGGATGTCTGGACTTAAGGATTTTTATTTTTTTTTTTTCCAACTCCCTTCACTAAAAATTAAAACTACAAAACAAAGTAAGAGCCTTTTTCTTACCTTGGCAGTCTTCTTTCCTAGACAATAATTTCTGTCCCTTTAAATGATTTATATTCTGTGACTTACGGGTTTATATTTTCTCATTATCAATTGATGTTTTAACAAGGTAATAAAAACTAGTATAAAAACTTCTCATCAAAGAGCTGATGTTCCTCATCAAAATAACACACAAGGATGAAATACTGTGACTTTTCTTTTTGGCTGCTGAGCTAGTGGAAGATTCAGAAGATATCGATACAGAAATTATTCAAATAGAATCATTACAGGGAAATCTTTTCTCCTCAAAGTTGCAGCGCGAGATGATGTGATTTTCATGATATGTGCAAAACAAGATTTGACTGGGGGGGGTGTCAGCCCCCAGGAGTAGGTACAGGGGTTCCTTTTATCAAGAGTGCTGTAGATTGCTTTTAGTAACAAAAATCCAGTTCTACATGTTATACGCTCAATACAAAAATGATTACGCCGTCCTTTGTGTTGATGAGTTTTCCCTTGCTGGAGTGCAATGCCCCAGTTGATGAGCCTTTCCGAAAAGCGCGGCATAGCTTCATCGTCTTGTTTTGTGACCTTGCCTTACAGAAGAATAGCAAATTTAACTCAGCTTGTACCTCCCAGTTTGGACTGCCGTCGTTTGTTGTTTTCTTAAGTTTTTGTGAGTTCTTCTTGGGCAAGGAAAACCACGGATCTCACACCGAAGCAATGCAGCTAGGAAAACAGCCACTGCTGTTCTTGGCCTGCTGCTGTGCTGAGCTGCGCTGTCTGATGAAAAGAGGCTTTATCAGCAAGGAGGGACGAGGAGCGATGGCTCCTTTTAGGAACATCTAAGCACAGCTCTGGCATTTTTAACTCCGGTGCTAAGAAGTAAAGAAAAATGAACAGAGAGGTAAACAGCGATGTTGGTCGTTCATAAACTCTGTATCCTTAAAGTCAAGCTTAAGAGATACCCATTTGTCGAGCCCAGAGATGGATCCTTCTCCTTCCCCCTCGTCTCCACCAGCCTTTTGCCACAGAGATTGAAGATACAACTCATCAGAGTCTAGTAAAACCTTTTAAAACTTGACTTTGAGGCCAAATGTGAGATCTGTTGGGGAAGCGAGCAGGCAGTATGTCAACCCGCTGGCTGTGTCGGCATCCCAGAGCCAAGGTCGAGCCCTGGTCGAGGGGGCTGCTCCGGAGCGGGGTGCTCTGAATGGCCGGCAATGGGGCAGGCTGGCGGGGGGAAATCTGTAGGTTCTGCTTGCGAGGACACTGAACTGTCAAGGGAGGAAACTTAAACTGTGCTCTGCTCCTGAAAGTTTACATAATTCATTACTTAAGGAAGAGGTCAAAGTATTGGGTACTGCGGTGGTGACTTGGCATGACACTTCAGGAGGGATGTCTTCTTTTTTTCTTTCTTTCCTTTCAGCAGCTAAAACAACCCCCCTTAACCTCTCTGTGCTGGCTGTGAACCCTCCGACCGTGTGTCTGGCAGTACGGTGGGACTTAACCTCACCCAGAAACTGCTGTATCTTTATTTTTGTCGTTAGTTGTGCCTTCAGCGGTGGTTATGTGCCTGCTGTGCAGTGACTTTTGGAGAACAGTCTATAGGTTCTCCATTGGGCAACGTGCCTTATTTGGATGGCCCATCTCCAAAAAGATGGGAAGGATTCTGCTGATTTTGATGTCCTTGTGATGGTTTCCATTACATATGTATGTCCCAGTGTGATTCGATCTCCTTAATAGAAACAGTGTTGTGTCTGTTTGGTTTTTCTTAAGCTCTCCTATGTATATGTAGAGTCCCTCAGGTGCTATCTGATCCCTTTGCACCCACATCTGTCTTCTGCCTGTTTGGCATCTTCCAAATACCATGATTCCCAGCTGCTTTGTGCTTCAAAGAATTAAAATTAGGGATGACAAATGACAAGGACTGAGTCGGTGAGGCTTCCTGTGTACCTAAGTCTGTCTTGAGAATTAGGCTGCGGTTCTGTATTTCGTACTAGGCTTGCATGAGAGTTGCTTTGTGTTGTCGCCTACGCGTTACCCATCGTTTCTGTCGCGATAGTTAGCTGCTGAGCTGCCATTGGTACTGCTAATTATAATGGTATTTTCGAAAACATTTTTGGTAGCTTTCAAACAGCATGTCTCTCTAAAATATAAAATACCTTTGCATTTTAAGCTCAGTAACGTTTTGGGAAATGGATATCAGTTTAACCTTCAGTTAAAATTGAGTGCAGGAACAAAAAAAAACGTTTTGCAATTCTTGTGTCTTTTTAGTGAAGCATTTCTGGAGGAAGCTGGAATTAGAGGCAAAATCCCTTTTAGAAAGCGGAGTGCTGATTGCTAGATTGTATTTCTTGAGTTTTACTACACCTGCTAAAACTAACACTGCCAAGATGCCGCAGAAGATTCTCAAATGAACAATAGAAAATGTCAAGCCTGTCACCACATGAGGGTAGTAATAAATTCAATAAAGTAACGCTAGAATTTGTGCCAGAGTCCACCAAGGATTAGGAAGGCCCTGGTACTCTATAGAGGTGGTGTGGTGCCATCTAATGTCGTCAGATTTAAATACAGGGTGCAGACAGGTATTTGATGGTAGAAATGCCATAGTTGGAGTGTTGATCTCTAAATCTGCTGTCATCCTTCCTCCTCCTGAGAAGCAAATGCTGTCTGAATTCTGCAACCGTTAATCTGAAATTCCTTCTGCGCTCTTCTGCTAGCTAACTTCCGATAAAATGCAAATTTCTTTGGAAACATCTTTTAACTTAAACACTTCTCTTTTTTAAAAAAAAACGAACATCAAGTTATTTTCTGTCTTGTTTGCAGAAAGAGTACTAAGGACCAGGTAGAGTTTAGGAAAGGTGTGGTTTAGGGTTGTTTTAACACTTTCTCAAAAAGCTTTCACTTGTGGTTTAGCAGGAGTGATGATACCTAGTGAAAAGGATGGAGTGGAAGTTAATTGCTAGAGCTGAACGGCTGTAATTTGTTTCTTGGCTTGTATCTTTTGTTTCCCTCTTTGCAAATGTGATTAGACCTCTAAGTGAGTGGCTTCAAATCTTCTGCTTCTCTGGCCTGAGCTGGGTTATCAAAAACTGTAGAATATGAAAAAAGAATTTGCCTTTAAGTCCCTTTTATGAAGCAAGCTCATGACAAACTCATGTTTACTTATTGTCAGTTAAGAAACAGTAAATTATATCAACTTAAATCTTGCTAAAGAATTTCTTAGAAACATTTGTTTCTGGCGGCATGTTGATGGCAACAGAAATACCTGAATGTGTAGAAAGCGAGCTTGATCGCATCAGCAAAGCAAAAGCTTGCTATACTCAGAAATACAGTCGGTGTTTGTACCTCGGTAATCGGATCGGTCATGCATCTGTAAGTGAAACGGCAGTAGAAATTTCTTTTGTAGGTGGTAAGATTCAAAGCTAGCCCTAGTTCTTAGTCCTTGTAACATCGGGTCTCAACGTAATATGTTAATGTGCCGTCCAGGCCACGCTGGTCAGATAACGTCCGTAGTCAACATTTTATTGTAGTGTTTCAATACGATGATGGATTGAAGAGTTGACCTGGTGAAATGGGCAACTCACTTGGAAGACATATTCGGAACCTCTGTGTTTGACTAATTCCCCTTTCTCCCTTTTGTCTCGTCCTGGGTAGGTTTGAAAAAGGGCGGATTTATACGTTTATTGGTGAGGTGGTCGTTTCCATGAATCCGTACAAAAACTTGAACATCTATGGGCGTGACATGATTGAGCAGTACAAAGGAAGGGAATTGTACGAGAGACCTCCTCACCTCTTTGCAATTGCTGATGCCGCTTACAAAGCGATGAAGAGGCGATCGAAAGACACCTGTATTGTCATATCAGGTAAGCTGAAAGAGCTTTTCAGGATGATGAACACTTGATCTTTGTGAAATTCTAGGCAGAAGAGGAATAATGATTTGGCTAATGGCAGAATTTCATAAAAGAAAACTACATTAATCTTAAAACTGCTTATTTGCATTTGAATCTGTGTGTGGAGACGTTAACAATAATTTCTTATCTGATTCGAGAGCTGGTGTCAGTTATTAGCTTAATCTGTGCGTGCAAAGTGATAACTTGAACATGAATCCTCTTTGCTCTGCCTGTGTGAATGGAGATCAGTGAGAACAGGGTTCCTGTTCTCTCTTTAGAGAACTGCTGATTTTTGTCCCTTAAATGATTGACCGATGTTTTGTTCTCTGTTTTGATGGCTGGACTGATTGCTTGTCGTGGCTCTACCAGTGGGAGCAGGGCTTGTACCATGAACGGTCGCTATCTGGATCCTGGCACTTCGTTTCCTTGATGTTCCCGTGCTTTAGCAGCTCTGAAAAGTGAGAGACGCGGGATGCTGTGCTCAACAGTAGCCTCTTGTATTGCAGTTCCCGGCACTGCTGCTAGCCAAGCCTCTGCGTGCCAGTCTTTCTCCTCTTAACAATATTCCTTTTGATCCTCTGTGTGCCAGGCCTTTTACCGACCTGTGAAGTCTTCCATCGTAACTGCTTCGAAGTCAGCATAGCAGCAACAACCAGGCAGGGTTATGGCTATATTTAAATAATATTCAAAGTGCAGACAAATAAGATTGCTTTAAAAACCCAACAAAACAAAACACAATAATAATCAAAAAACCCAAACACTATTGGGGTAGAATTAAGATACACCGTTTTGTGATTCGCTTTTTTTGAGCTGTTGTGTCACCTTTGTATTTATTCCCTCAGGTGAAAGCGGGGCTGGGAAAACTGAGGCCAGTAAATATATTATGCAGTACATAGCAGCCATTACCAACCCCAGCCAGAGGGCCGAGGTGGAAAGGTAAGGGCTTTGCAGAAAAAAAGAAGTGAAATTGTTTGATTTATGCATCTCTTTCTGTGGACTGTGTAGCACCATGTTATTAGATGGTCTCTTGTACTAATTACATGCTGATTTTTACAGCATTTACCTAACTTCTTCAGATACTACTTTTCCTCTGGGAATTTTGCAATATTGATTGCTACAATCATGTGGAAAAGTTTTGTTTTGAAAGTTTGAGCTTTCAAAATAAAAACAGCATCTAGAAATCATGCTTCCTGTGGCAAATTGCCTGAAATACGTGTACGTTAGAATCGCATATTGAGGGCAAGGAACATATTCCATGGGCGTTCAGGCTCGCACGCTCCTGAATTGCAAAATGTGCCTCTCAGTCCTAGAGTAAAAGTTGCTGAGCAAAGAATGTGGCTTTCTGCTGAAACAGACTTCATACCTACCCTGACAAAAAAATTTGAAAATGACTTGTGAAAGAGCTCAGGGAATTGGTTTCAAAATTTACATATGTAAAGGAACTGAATTTTTGATGCTATTTTCAGTGAGGGCATCTGGTCTTTGGTTTGCATTTGCTCAACTCTAAGGAACGTTGCCAAAAGCTCCCAGCTGATTTCCCACGGGATTGCTAATGTCATACACATCTGCCCAAATATGTCATCAAAGAGCATGTCTGCTGTTACTAAATTCTTCTTGAGAAGTGTCTATGGAAAAAAAAATTCTATGGTTTGAGTATACAAGTCTGGACTTACCCTGTTCTCTTTCCCATGTACCTGCGCTACAGAGTGAAGAACATACTGCTGAAATCCAACTGTGTGTTAGAGGCCTTTGGCAATGCCAAAACAAACCGTAATGACAATTCCAGCAGGTTTGGAAAATATATGGATATCAACTTTGATTTTAAAGGAGACCCAATAGGTGGGCATATCAATAATTACTTACTAGAAAAGGTAAGCCACCCTCACTTTTAGAGTTGGAGGCTTCTATGTAGTTACTTTTGCGACATGTGCTTTGCCATGAGAAAGTTTTCCTTTCAAACATGGTATGTCACCAGGTGACATGTCAGGTCATAGAATCTCATTAAATCTAGGGCTTAATTTTTCTTCAACAGTTAGTATAAGTAACTGAAAGGCTGCTGAAGCCCTGGCCATGCCCTGTTTCTTCAACACCACTGCTTTCAGAGCTCACCACCTAAGGGACTAGTGTTACTCAAAAGCTTATGTGCAAATAGGTGTATATACTTTGTATCCAGAATAAAAGCTGAGATTGAGTTAACGTCTGCAAAACTTCTTCTTTATAAGTTCCCGCGTTGAGAACTCACTGGTGAATAGAAGAAGATACCTAGGTCTGTGAGTAGCAGCAGTATGCTCGAGAAGTGTTATTCTGGAATAATGCCACAACTTTACTCTTTTAGTAACTTTGATTTTATATATTCCAAGTGATCCTAAGCATTTATTTTTTTTTCCATGTCATTAAGTGGTGGCTGAAAACATTGGAATATGTAAAACTGTGTAGGGAAACTGGGCATGATCTATTAACAGTTCTCGTTATGTGTGAGACACACGTCTGGCTTTAATTTATATGTTTGACCACATCTGCTAACATGCTTTTTTGTTTGTGTTTTTTACTTTTCCCTTTATTTCCCTGAAGTCTGTTTTCAGAATAAACACTTTATTTTAAAAAACAAAACAACCACCCCAAACGTTTAACATGTGATACTTTCATGCAAAAAAGGGGTAGGACTGCAGCTGCAGTGAGTTAAATCCTGATCATTTATTTCATATTCTTGACTTCTACCAAGTTAAATTTATTTCCATTTTGAAAGCAGTTGAGGTTCTGGTCTGAACACAAGCAGTTAACAGACAGTGACTTTGCAGTGCCGCATGAACACACGCCTTGTCACTCTCCATAGTTCAAACTTGTAGTATGAAATAGCGATACGTTGCTTGTTGACTGAATTTCTGCTACATGTAACTTTTTTTTTTTTTTGGTGCTATTTTACACTGATTTGAATGAGTGCTCTGAAGTTGGAGCTATTGCTTGCTGCCTAAAACAATGCCCTTGTGTTAGAGCAGAGTGTTCACTTGTGCAGTGGCTGGGTGCTGTTGGTTAGCCCATCCTGGGGTCGTAGAAGTGGTTACCATAACCGTGTCCCTAACTACGACCCATAGAGCATTTTTTTTGTAGTCACAGAGTCCTGTTGTTCATTTCCAGCAATTAAATAACTCTTAAACTAAAATAACATTTTATTTGACTCTTCCATGAAAGCAATTCTGCAGTTGCCACATGGGATTCCTGGCTGGAAGTAGGACTTTGCAGCTCTTATGCAAGCTGGTCTTTTTGATTATAGACTTCAAACTCCATGGTCATGCCTAGCTAATAAAGTTCATAACAGACTTATTGTAAGCTACGATTAGTTTGGAGGTGTCCTAGCAGTGGTGAACCGATGCCTTGGTGTCTAAGGGGAGGTGCTGGGGAAGCAGGCCATCCACATCCAGAAATACCTATCTTTGTATTTTGTTTCCCCACAGTCTCGTGTGATCGTGCAACAGCCAGGAGAACGAAGCTTTCATTCTTTTTACCAGGTTTGTATTTATTTGCTGAAACAAATGGCTTTTCTCAAGTTTCCCAGACACAATAGGCAAAATATTTAAAGCTTTCACCCTCTCGTGTGCTTCACAAAGGGTCCCCTTGTTGTTGCATCTTGGGTGATCTTAGGCTTTTTAGGTTTTTTGAAGAGGCCTGGTCTGGGGAAGGAGCATGGGAAGATAATTTTTTTTTTCCATCCTTCAGTCCCAGATTAAGACATTTGTAAACTTAAAAGGAGGCTAACTAAACGAATATGGTAGAATATTGGACTTGGACTCACTCTTTTATTTGTAATAAGTCTAATCCCTCTATTTTCTCTTGAGGCCTTGGGTCCATATGGAAGTAATTTTATGACACCAAGTTGACTTTGTTTTTTTGGGGAGGAGGTTCTTTTTAATGTCTTCCATATTGTATGGTGGTTCCCTTGTGTTTCCTTTGAGGGAAATGGTCGACCTATTAGTATAACCTTTATTCTCAGCTTTGCAGTGAGGGAAACGTACGTTTGTTTATTTTTTCCCACTTATTCGGTACTCCCTGATGGCTGTTAGCACCTTTCTCATGAATATGTCATTTCCATATTGGAAAGTCTCTGTGTATGGCAGAGAAGGTAAATGTGCTTGCTAAGACACATCTGTGGCATGTCACAGATGTAAATATGTCTGGTCTGTGAAGAGGTTCAGGCTTGTTTTCTAAACAGTTGTGTCACTCAAAAGGACAGTCATTTAGGCAATCTTTTTCTGGTGGTCAGAGCCCTACCACGATGCAGACTCTGTATTTTGCACATGTGCTTGTGACTCCAGATACTGTAGCTGATTCTTCTGGAGCAGTAAGTTAATGTTTTTTATGATTTTTCTTGTCAAACAGATGAATAAGAAACAGAAAAAGGAAGGATTTTATTTTTTTCATTCACTGTTTCTTAAAATACTCTTTGTACAGCTCCTCCAGGGGGGTTCTGACCAGATGTTACGTTCTCTGCATCTTCAGAAGGATGCATCTGCATACAGCTACATCTGTCCTGGAGCACAGCTAAAGGTGAGGATGTTGTTAGTGAGGTAACTTGTCTTAAATTGTAAATGCTTCTTGAAATGCTTGAAGTACTGCTGAGCTAGCAGGAGCCGAGACCAATTTTTATGGCATGAATATGGAAAGGTGACACCAATGTGCTATTTTTAATGGAGTTTCTGGCCCTAGAAGCATATATGTACTTGTGCATACTACATTTGTGTCTGCTTATAAAAAACATTAAAATGTAGTAGGAGAGACATCATCTTCGTTAATAAATGCAGGCATAGATATTTGACCCATTACCAGTGACAGACTTTTCATGCTTTGTAACAGGTAACCTAAGCTGCTTTCTGGACCAAAAAGCCATAAGGACTCTTTTTTTTTACAGTAGGACCATTTAAATTACTGAAGCATTCATTCTTCTTATCTGACTTATCCTTAAGGGGGTCTCTGAACAGGAAAGAAGGGAACAAACCCATAAAGTTTTTAGGACAACCAGATCCTGAACACTTTAAATACAACTGCAGTTGTCCCTAGTGTTGTCCCTCTGAAGCAGGGTCCAGACTAATGGTTCCCTGATTTCCTGATTGCTTTCTTGAGGTTCTCTTTGGCAAACAAACTCATGGATCTTCTCAGATGCCTTTACCAGTTTCTCTAGAAATCTGCAGTGAGAACAAAGCCAGATGATTGGGAGGGGAGGGAGGCAGAGGCTCATCTTAAGAAAGATGGTGACCAGAAATTTACTGCTGGTGCTCTGCAGCTTCTACTGGGAGGGTCTGTGGCTGCAGTACTTGTAACTATTGTTCTGATTTTTTTATGAATCCCTTCTACTCTTTCACAATAAATTCCACTGGGAAAGTACTGAACTATTCAATCGTGCTGTGATGGATTTCTGTATCTCATTGCTGCTGGTATACATGTGTGTCCAATGCGGGATTCAGCATACAAGCATACGGTATGGGATTAGAATAAGTTGAGAAATCTCATGACAGTGTCTCACATCTGAAAAACAGCAAAGTAAATATCTGTTTCCCATGGACTTGCAAAATCTTTGCTTTCTCACAGTTGACTTCCATTAAGCCCCTCAAGTCCCAAACATCTTTTTCTCCTCAGTGTTCCATCAATGATGGTGCAGAGTTCAAAGCAGTAGCTGATGCCATGAAAGTTATAGGCTTCAAGCAAGAGGAGATTCAGACTGTCTACAAAATTGTGGCAGCCATTCTTCACTTGGTAAGCTCTCTGCCCACAGGTATGAGTAAGCTGTGCTTCAGAAGGGTTCAAGCAGTATACTTGTACTTCCAGCAGCTCTAATTTTCTTGCTGCAGAAGCAGTTGGAAGATCTGTTGGCTGGAAAAGTATATACAGTTTACAACTTCCAGGGGCAAGTGAAACTCCTTCGTGAAATAGGACACTGCAGTAATGATGGAAGATCACATTTATTCCTGTATATTGCAGCTCCCAAAACAGATACGTCACTAAGTACTGGGAACTGTTAAATGTTCTGGAAAGGAATTGTTGGGGTTTGACAGTGAGGAGGTAGGGAGCTCTTGCCTCGCTGTCTTTCTTTCCCTCTTTGCCCTCACACTCACCATCACCGCTGTGGTTTTGCCGGAGGGGTGATACTTCACTTCATGGTGCAGACTTGAGCACAGCCGGATACAGGCGACCTCTTAATTCTCTGTATTCTGATGCTAAGGAAATCCTTCCTTCACCCGTATTCTCCTGGGACCCGCAGAGCCTGCTCCCCTGTGCAGTGTCCCAGTAGCTCAGCTGTTGTGTTTCCTTGAGGAGAGAGGCACCGCAGGTGGGCAGGAGGAGGATGGCAAAGAAAACTGCAGCTTTTTTCCAAGTCTTTCTCCTCCTTGGGATAGTTGTGCCCCAGTGCTGGGGAAGGAATGGAGGCAGAGCAGAGTCTGGCCATGCAGGCAGGATGTGAGACCACCCACTCCTGCAGATTATTGTTATTAATCCTGGCACTGCAGGTATTGAGTAACAAATCTGTTGTGGTGGTGTGCTGTCAGTCCAGTCCTGTTAGCAGTGCCGACTTGTCAGCTTCCCCACAATATTCACATTACCTTTGTGGGCAGTAGCATTACAGGAAGAACTGCAGCTTAGCGATTCTGTGGCAAGCTGCAGTGACGATTAAATGCTGCATCCAGCGTTTGTCTACTTCATGTAATTTCCCATCACTAGATCTTGATCTTGAGAGTGTTTGATTAAACCTCTGGAAGCATTTGATGTAATTTTTTTTCCAAAAGCTGAGCTGAACACTGGTCAGGAATGCTTTTCTTTGAGTCAGGTGCTGCTGCTTCCACTGATGTTGGAGCTTTGTGGGTAGGTGGATATGCAAGACCCAACCTTCTATAATGTGTTCGGAGATTTACTGACCTGAACAGCAGGTGGAATGTGGATGAACTTGGGATATACTGATTCATATAGGACAAGAGGAAACGGTCTCAAGTTGCGCCAGGGGAGGTTCAGGCTGGATATTAGGAAGAATGTCTTCACCGTAAGAGTCGTTAAGCATTGGAACAGGCTCGCCGGGGAGGTGGTGGGCTCACCATCCCTGGAGGTGTTCAGAAAACATTTAGATGTGGCGCTTCAAGATGTGGTTTAGTGGGCATGGTGGCGTTGGGTATCTGGTTGGACTTGATGATCTTTGAGGTCTCTTCCAACCATAACAATTCTATGATTCTATGATATTAATAAAAGACAGATAAGAAATCTAGTTTCTTGCTCCTTATTGCAGGGGAACTTGAAGTTTTCTGTGGATGGTGATACACCTGTAATAGAAAATGGCAAGGTTGTGTCGATCATCGCCGACTTGCTGTCAACAAAATCTGACATGGTGGAGAAGGCTCTTTTGTTTCGAACTGTAGCTACAGGTCGGGATGTCATTGACAAACAACATACTGAACAAGAAGCCACCTACGGCAGAGATGCCTTTGCAAAAGTGAGTTTAGAGTTCCTTTCTCTGTGTCCCATTTTGTATGTGACAGTAGCTCAGATGCCTTTCTTTGCTTTTGCCTTTTGGTTGAGTCATCCTCGGTGCAGCAAAGAATGGTGATGCCTGAGGAATGTATTCAGTAGTGAATTGCCTTCAGAATTGCACTTTTTTTAATGCTCAGGTCCCAGTAGGATTCCTGGGTGGATCAATAAGTATAGTGCTTGCTGAGACACAGGAAGTCTGTACTTCATGTGGATTTATTTCTGAATGTATATGCTCCTGTGTTCTATAGGGGGATTGCAGGGCAGCACCGTCCCTGTCCTTCCCTGGCTATATGGCAGGACATGCACCACAGCCAGCAGTGCTTGCGGCACACAGAAGAGGGGAGGGAGCTGCAAACCTGGTTTGCTGACATCTGCAAAAGGAATACATTGTAGAGGGCTGAGTATTTTTCAAAATATGATTCTTGACTTCATTTAGCAGTTAATTTCAAAGAGTGAAGAATAGAACTGAAACATCTAGAACTTGGGTTGGAAACCCAAAGTGCTGTCTTTTTTTTCGGGAAGGTGGATACTGGTGACGGGAGTGACAATTGTCCTTCCTTTGCTAAGAAATCAAATGATGAAGAATGGATGAAGTTATGAAGATCCTTGATTATTAACTTTTTTCCCCAAGATTATATGTTTGCACAACTTTGCAGTACATTTTGAACATGTAGACTTTAAAGATACCTATGCCTACAGAACATTTTCTTTTTGGAAGGTGAACAGGAGTATTTTACTGCCATTGTGTCGGGTTGTTAGGTTTCTATAACTGACCTCTCACTTGCTCTCAATATTGTTAAATAATTCTCAGGAATGGAAGTTATTAGGCAGCTGAAAAGCAGACTGGAATCAAATTAGGGGAACTGCTGTACATAGTGACCTCGCTAGGATTTAGACTTTGTGTAAATGAGTTTTGGAAGAAAGAAAAAAAGTGTTTTCATAAAATATTTTCTTTGTGTCAGTAGCTGTTCACTTTTAGCAGAATGTTATCTGTAGCTTTTTTGTACTTGGGGCAGCATCTTGAATTAAGCTTTGTAACACCACGTGTGGCATTTACCAGAAAGAATTGAGACAGATGCAGGCAAAATTCCTCAGTATTTGTTTTCTGGCAGGCTATATACGAGCGCCTCTTTTGTTGGATTGTGACACACATCAATGATGTGATTGAAGTGAAGAACTATGACACTACAATACATGGGAAAAACACAGTCATTGGTGTCCTGGATATCTATGGCTTTGAAATATTTGACAATAACAGGTGAGCTACGTTGTTAAAGCCCAGTGCTGTGCCTTCTCCTTTCCCAGAAAACTCATCACCTTTTTTCCTTATGTTTTTGCAGTTTTGAGCAATTTTGCATTAATTACTGCAATGAAAAGCTACAGCAGCTCTTTATTCAGCTGGTTCTAAAGCAGGAGCAGGAAGAGTACCAGCGAGAGGGAATTCCCTGGAAGCATGTGAGTGATTTGGCAGGGGAGGGAGAGGTCGGTGTGAGGTCAGTGTACCAGCATAAGTCCCAGATCTAAAGTTGCTCCACATGTACGCTCCTGTCGAAGTCGATAGGACATCTGTGTCCGTGCCAGCTGTAGTGTCAGACTTGCTGTCTGGAAATCAGGCTGTGGAAGAAGCTAACCAATTATCTCACACCATTTCTTTATTTGCCATGACGTGGGAAAATAAGTGACTCGAGGTCTGGGTTAAAACATATTGTGGCATCGCTGTAATGCCCCACACATCACTGTGTGCTTCTGTTCTGAGTGCTTATGTATTTTGTCTAGTTGTAGATGCTAAGGCGTAAAAATCTTACTCTGCTGTTCAAATGCCTTTCACAATACCAAGGACAAGATGCGCAGTTTTCACTGTGGTAACTGCACGCAGTTGAATTTTAAGCCATTTTGGAGTGCGTTCTGTAGCAGTTCATTTTTAGCAGAGGTCTCGAGATTTATATGCGGTGTTTGAAAAATCACCTTCTCTGCTGTTTGGTGGTGGAAGAGTAGCCTGCTTGATTTTGAATTAGAGATCTGCATATTGAAAGCTGATTGTTTCTCCTGTGAATGGTGGGCCCTATTCTCTCTTGTCAGACACACGGTACTGTTTGTCAGTGGCCAATGCCGGTACGCTCCTTTTTCACTAGCCAGTCACAAATACACCCATTCTTTGTTTTTGTTTTTTTTTACAGATTGATTACTTTAACAATCAGGTCATCGTCGACCTGGTAGAGCAGCAGCACAAAGGGATCATTGCCATTCTGGACGATGCCTGCATGAATGTTGGAAAAGTGACAGATGAGATGTTCCTTGAGGCTCTTAATAACAAGCTAGGGAAGCATGCTCATTTCTCCAGCAGAAAGGTAACGTGCTCCTCTGTACCCTCAAAACTTGCTTCCTTTCCTGTGTGTGATACCGTTTCTGGTTTTTTTAGGTGTAATGGAATAAGGAAAAAGACTTGAAGGGTGGCTGGGGTTGGAGTCATTCCCATCGAGTATGACCTGAAATGCCTGAGAGCAGCAGGAGCAGCTCCTAACTACCGAACAGGCTCTCTGCTCTGGGTTTAGGTCGCGCCTTGGGCGGCCCGGTTCCCGGCAGAGGGAGCCCAAGTATGTCCGATGTGAGATCAGCTTTATTCCAGGCATAAAAGAAGCATGAGCTCGTGTCTTTGACATATCATGATGTCATCTGTAACCAATCGATGCGTCGTTTCAACCCACGTGACGTTCTTCCCAGGCTGCTCTAATACATAGTGACAGTGAAATTATTCACACTTCTGCATTATTACAGCACTGTGATTTTATTTTTTTTGCCATCGTCATTGGCTACAAAATATGCTCATCTCATATTGTACCTATGATCATCCAGCCCCCTCGACTTGCTTTGGGTTTGGTACAATGTATGAATTAAAAGGCTTGCTTTATTCCTCATTTGGCAGCATATTGAAAACATGGTCACCAGCCTGGTTAATTTGAGAATCTTCCACACTGAGTAATCAAATAAGGGCCTTTAATTTATTGATGGCTCTCTACTGAGAAACGTTGTTTGAAATACATCATTCCAAATGCTGGTTCCCCCCCCTTCTCCCTCCCACCCCAGTACAATATTTTATGTAGGTCAGAAATACAAAATTAGCATGGTTGTATAAGATATGTGCTAAAGGCTGCCTCCAGGGAGACTGAATATAAACAGTAGATCTGGATGTGGCTTGTTTGGGTAGAGGCTAGGCTGAAAATAAAATAACCATTTTTTCCTCCCAGATGTGGCTTTCCTGAAGTGCCCTTTAGCTGCAACACACCTGGCATCTCATCTGCCACATGCGTCCTAGCTGAGGGAGGGGGAACGGGGAATCTTGCTTTCCCTGTTAACCTAGATTTTACCTGCTTAAGCAGTAGATAAATTATGTGTACCATGTTCTGAGTAAACTTATCAGAAAACAGTATTTTCATGAAGCCTCATCTGGGTTTTTATGTTTTAATGCTAAATTGCTTCCTTTAGTAGTATTAATGATTAGCGAAGCCTGAGGGCATGGAGTCTTAAATCCTCTGCAGTGGGGTAGTGTGGGAAGTGGTCCAGTTTTGGGAGCTGTCTAGTCAACAGTCATAAGCTGGTAGAGAAAGCAGCTCAATTTCTGTTCTGTCCTTGGTCCCGCATCCGCTAAGGTGAAGTGGTTCCATCATGAAGAGAGCAGGTAGGCCTTTGATACAGCAGGGGAAGAGGTCTGAATTTCATAAAGTATATGGGAGGCTATAAAATGAAAATTAAAAAGACCCAACACCAATCTGTTTCAGTCCTTACCTTCAGGAGTCCCTTCCCAGCATAGGAAACATTAAAAGAAAATATTGCCAGTTGTAGCATTCCTCAGTAGGGGGTGGCATTGTCAGAAAACTGTTTGCACAGATGTGAGAGGCAAACAAGGAATACTGCTATAAATAATGTTTATGGAGGGCATGATGTATCTTCCTGGCTTGCTAATTTCTAGTTTAAATCAATATAGCCTTGAAAAAATTGACCCATAAAACTCTCAGCATTGTAATTATTTTTTCCCCTTCTCGTGTCTTTGCAGACATCCTTTGCCAGTATCTAAGATATCTTCCTCAGTCCCATCTGGAACTGCTGTAGGAAACCTGAGCTTTCTAAGCCAGCCTCTTCTAGCTTGAATTAAAACAAAGGACTTGATTTCATTTCATAATTTGCTTTTGTACACTGCGTTAGTTCTGTCCAGATACTATAAAGTTCAGTGTAGACTGAAGCTGTTCCTAAAGAGTTAAAATATGTGTGCTGATATGTTACAGGAACAGCTCCCATCTTTCAGCCTGAGTTAATGCTTCGCTGCTCCCCTGTAGAGTATGTTGCACGCTGGCTCCATGTGGATAAGCTCTAAGGGGCTGCTGTGCCCTAAATAGGAGTGTCCTAGTTTGTGTGCGGCATGTCTGATCACTGCTGTCTGCTTGGTTGTCCTGGTGAAAGCCAAACAAACCAGGAATACTGGCAAACACTTCCACTATGAGTGTTTATGGCAAAATGTTATGTTTGTAGGGCATGGGTTGTCCTTCGGTGATCTAGCATGTAGACATGCTAGCTGTTCTGATCGTCCTCAACATCACAGGTTCGTTTTCCTCAGCCTCCTTAAGTTCTGAATTTTTCAATTGATCTTATACTTTCGAAGGATCAAGTGCAATTGTCTGAATCTCAAACTGATTGTGAAGGGAAGATTATCAGAAGGTCCATTCTAGTCCACTTGATGTAGTATCTTCCGAGACACTACGCAGTAGTGAGTGTCTAAGTGAGAAAAGAATGTGGGACAAACATGTAATGGTAACTTGATGTGCTCCTAGTCTCCAGTGATCTGCAGTCCAGAAACCTCCTGAATCAGGGCTCACGTCCTTAATAGGTGTTTTTTGGTTGGTTGGTTGGGTTTTTTTAAATTGACAAAGAATTCCACGACTTGGATGCTCAACGTGAAGAGCTCCTTCTTCCCTGTTTTCTTCCCTTCTCCCTTTTCCCTTTTAGGTTACATCTGTTGCCTCCTAGTTCTTGCACAGCAAAACACGGTTCACTGTGTCTTCCAATACATCATCTCCATGCCGTTTGCCATCGTCTCCTGGCATTTCTTTCTTAACCTGAAGAGGCATAGTTTGCTTGGCCCTTCCTCCCGTAGCAGTCAGTCAGTACTGTAGATGGTTTTCCCTTCATCAGACCTCTTCCAATTCTCCTGTGTCCTTTTTGAGATGAGGGTGGTTAAGATACTTGTTGGGTTGGGAATGGACCATTTGCTATGAACATTGGCTTTTCTCTGTGTGTATCACTGTATGTACGTTAAATTTCATTTGCTCTTTTTTGCCATCCCTTTAGCCTCTCGTGTCTTCCCGTGGTTCTTCACAGCCAGCTGTTGTCTTTACTTCCCTGAATAATTAAGTACCATCAACAAGCTTGATGACCTTCCTATTACCCTCAGATTATAGCTCATTTAAGATGATATTAACAGTGTAGACCTCAGCGCAGGCCCCCGCAGAGCTCCTGTTTCCCATCTTTCCAACAGTTTTATCTATGTGAGGACCATTTCTCTTCTTTTTCATAGCAGCTTAAATTCTTTGAGCTGTTAAGTGAGGAACCTTGTTAAAAGGCTCACAGAAATCCAAGCAGACTATCAACTGTATCAATATATTTGCTGGTTTTTTTTTTTTTTTTTTACTAATTTCAACTGATTTGTGCAGTAGACACAAAATTCAGAGAGAATCACTCCTTAAAACAAAAAACAGCCTAACCTCATGTTAAGCACCCTTTCAGTCTCTCCAGTACTGGAGGAGTTTTAAGCGAGAAGCTTGTGCGGCCAACCATGTCCCATCTGGTAGCAACAGTTGCTTCATTTCATTAGGTTTTTGCTTGTTGTATAGGTCTTGTGTTGACATGTTGGTTTGAGGTGTATGTTTTGGGTGGTTGAAAAAAGGCATTGCATCCTCCATTGCCCCTTGCTGGTGAGCACAGCTGCAAAAAGAAAAATTACTTTGTTTTTCTGGTATGACCTCGTTTCTTCATTTTCTTTGTGTTCCTGCTACACCTCGGTCATCTATCAGCTCTGCAGACCCTGGCATGGTTCCTGCTCCTGCTGGACTGGCCTTCTTATACCTTGGTAACCTTGTACCTTCTTAGACTTTTTTGATTTCCTCCTTGTGACTTTTTATTTAATTTTTTTTTTTTTTTTACGTCTGTCAGTTTGAGCCAGTCTATTTTCTAGTCTTGGACATAGATGAAGTTTTTTGGAGGCTATCTTCCTGCTTCTAATAATCTCTCCTGCCCTCAGTTTAACCCTGCTAATTCCTCTTTTATTTTCCCAAGACTTCTGATGGATAGTAGATATTTCCTCATAGCCCTCGATGTTTTTAAGTGGTGCCCGTGCTTCCTGCAAAGACTTCATTCATCTACCTACCCCTTTCGGCTTTAACAAAAATCCTCATTTTTATCTTGTTCTCCTTTTTTAATTAAGCTGAACCTGATGGATGTTTTGGCTTCTGTTATTCCTGAAGGGATGAGTGTATTATAGCCGCTGCTACTGACCGGCTGCCATGTGGGCACTTGACATCTTTGTTGTAGAGAAGGAATGGGATGGGAAGTCTGAGCTGCGAGCAGCGGGTTGGAGCTGTGACCACCCTGGGTGGACCTGCAGGGGTGGTCACGGTTTGAGGGGTGTTAGATGATCCACAGTGATTTGGGAGAGAACAAGCACTGCTATTGTAACTGTCATATTTTGATTGCTTCATTTCTTTGCTGAGGAGTGGTACTGCAATGGAAAAAAATATAGAGGAAGACTTAAAAAAAAAGTCGTAAGTTAACTCCTAGGTGCAGTGTTTCTCTGCACAAACGTTCTTTTTGCATAATGGCATTTCTGAGATAATATCAATTTGTTAATAGAACTATTGACTCTTGCAACTTGATTTCATACAAATAGATGTTCTTATAACTCATCAATGAAAAATATTATAAAGCAGTGTTATAACTGGATTTCACATCTACACATGCATATATGAAGCGGAATAACTATAGTTTCCATTTCTGTTTCCAATGCATATTGCTCTTCCACAAAACTTGAAAATCCATGGCTGGTGTTTTAATGTATGTGAATTTATTTCAGCTTTGTGCAACTGACAAAACGCTGGAGTTTGACAGAGACTTTCGAATCAAGCACTACGCTGGAGATGTGATGTAAGTTGTTGGTTTTTTTTTCAGGTATGAAGTTGTACCTTCTATTTTTGTCTTTTAGCCAGCTTTGAAGTGTTACAATATTCTAATTTAATGCAGCTTCTGCTGCGAACCAGAATAGCTGTCATACGGAATTACAGAGTGAAGCAGCTGCTTATCAATTAAATCTTCTGCTGGTTGCTTGCTATACAGAATATGATTTTGCACTTGGAATTGAAACAAAAGGAGAATATTGGGAGTGGGGCGGTGAGGGGAGAGCAGTGCTTCAGGGAAAAAAAAAAAAGCCAGCACTGTTTATGCAAGAAAGCTATACTGAACTAATAAAATCTGGTTTAGACATCTGTTTAGGATGCTTATATAACTCTCTGGCATTAGATTCTCAAATCGGTTTGAGCAGACTCAAAATACAGGGTAGTGTTAAACTGCAGTAGGTATCAGTGCAAGGAACCTTCCCCGTTCAGGCTGAAAAGTTTTCTGTACCTGAAGCCTACAAAAATGTCTACAGTATGTGACAGTAATACGAAGGAAGATTAAGTAAAAGTGAAAGATGCCCATATGTTAGAAACTGTTCACTGGGAAAGCTGTTGTCTGGAATATCACTGGAGTGATTTAATGATTTAGGATCTGTGTAACTCCTCGTGTTAGCAGAATCTGAAGGGAGTTAATGAGGAAATGATTTAGGATTTCTTTTATATGGGATTAAATTTACCCGTAATTTATAAGGGTAACCAGTGTGATCATACTGGAGCCTGTTCAGCTCAGCTAGATTTTGTTCTGGAGTCTTTGCTGAGCAATTGCTGATAGACATCCCTGATTTCAAAGGATTTTGGAGGAGAAAATACAAGGTGCCATATTAGCGGTTTAACCTTCTGCACTGCCAGTGGCTGAAAACTTTTGTAAAAGGAAACTGAAATGTGGAAATATTGAAAGTTACCAGAGTTTAGGCTCAAATCTTACATGGAGCAGTAAGGTTTGAGGATGGCTCCATGCAAGGATTTGAATGTTGTGGGGCTCTGGATCCCAGTGCCTGCAGTTCGCCTTCCTGGGGTCTGAAGCTCGGGAAACAACTGAGCAGGAGTCACTGAATGGGAAGATTTTGGACCTTTTCTTTGAGGACAGAGCATTGTGTGTCTTGAGTTTTGGCGAAGAGATGAAACTGTGAAATGGTAATCTTTTGGGGTGGTATTTCTGTGGGAATAGAGGAAGGACATAGCCCTAAATTTGTGTGCCCATGTTGATTTCCAAGAGGGTTCCCTAGTCACTGGTTATAGGCTGCTCTTGATTTCAGGCACTCTCCCACTAGAGAATTTTCCTTGACACCAAGAGAGGGGCAGACTAGACATGCTGAAAAATAAAATTTCATTTCTGTAGGATTTAACACAAACACATGCTCTGAATTTGGAGGCAGAAGGCATGAGTGTAACTCTTGAATTTGGGCCATCTACAAATTGCTTAAGCCCTGCTAGGTGTCTCAGCCATCATGCTCTTCACCTGCAGAGGTCAAATAGCTTTCTAAAACTACATATATGTTGTTTCTGCACTGGAGGTGGAAAACTGTACAGAAGGATCTAAATCTCACACAGTGCTCATGCAGCAGATTAGTGATAGGTTGGGAAACAGAGCTGGATTCCTGATTAGCATCTGCTGTGTCTGTAGGAGTGCAAGGATGCTGATTCCACAGTGATACCAGCAGCTCAGAGAAGGACTTTGCTTCTTTGCAATTAACTCTGTTTTCCTTTTTTTTTTTTTTTTTTCAGTTACTCAGTCACTGGATTTATTGACAAAAACAAGGACACTTTATTTCAAGACTTCAAGCGCCTCATGTACAACAGGTAGGAATAACAGTATTAACGAGGTGAATTTAAATCTGATTTGTCAGAATCCTTTTTTCTAGAGTGGATGCTAGAAGAGACTAATGTTTTCGCTGATGCTATCTTTACTATGTGTGCAGTGCACGTGAATAAACACGTTGCTTTGGGATTTGATCTTTGTATATCTACCGCAAGCTGAAGGCTGTTGGTGTTTCAGGATAAAGTCCTTATTCTGTATATGTTGGTTTTGTTCTGATATAACCTTTAATTTAACTAAATTTAAAGTGTTTGGAACCAACTCATTGTGCAAACAAGATAACTGTGCAGAGATTACCTGTGCTGCTTGATTTGTCATTAACCAGGTTTTTGGACCAGTTGCAAATGTACCATTACTCATCTCTCTAACCAGTGCTAAAGATACCAAGTAGCATTTGGTCAACAGCAGATGTCATCGGCCTCAGCTACAAGTCCCTGTTTTGAAAGAAAGTATAGAGGTGAAGGGAAAAATGGGCAAATAGATTTGAATCCTTTTCATATGTGCAGTAACGTGAAAAATTTAAACTATCTAGTCACGTGTTATAAGTACTAGTTAGGCAAGTAGCAGTTGCCTTTGACAAGCAAATTTGAAAGCCTATCAAAATGTGTGTGTATATATAAGTGCCCCAGAAAGCTGTTTTCCCTGACGGCTGGCATTAAACATGTAATTCTTTTGTAACTGTGGTCTGTCTCAGAGACTTTACTCAGAGGTAGAAGTCAGCATAAAATAGCCTGCAGCTGTATGGACAACTCTGTTTACCTGGTTTAAAAGCTAGTACAACCATTAACTTAGTTTACAGTCCTGTTATGTTTACTTGGTGTACTCCCTTCAATAGCCTTGCTGTTTGTGTTTTCAAGACTTCACCTTAGCCAAAAACCTGCAAAATATTTGCTGTACAGAGGTTTTGTTAAATTTAGCCTCTGTTTTCCATTAAGTGTCTGGTAAAGACTCTTCACAAAGACCACTTACGGCATATTAAAGCATGTGATAGATTGGCTATTAGATTGCTGAAACTGTTCTCAGCTTTTGTCTATTCCAGAGCTCTTGCCATCCATCATGGCTATTTTACCTCACCTTCAACCCTTCAAGAAAGTATAGGCTAAAATGTATAAATTATTTTATGTATCAAGAATGGTGCAGAAATACAGCTTGAAATCAGATAGCAAGTTTCAGGGGAGGATGTTGTGGGCTGTGGTCTTACTCTTTTCTGTTTTGATTAAATTCTTTATGTTTGTGTCAGTAAGGCAGACTATGCTTTTGATAGATCACTTCTGCAGGAGTTTTACTATCCCATTACTGCACATCTTTATCGGACGAGGAGAATGTGCTTGTCATTTTTCCAGAATATTCAGTTGCAAGCTTGAACTGTATATTGCTCAAGAGCAAAAGATATTTTGCCCAGGAAAGTCGTATTGGTTTGGCTGATACATTTTGAGCTGAAAACACCAGTAGGTCTACTCAGAAGCAGGCTGTTGAATTTTGAATTTAGTGGAAGTGATGTTAGACTGTGCAATTAAAGAGACTGTCTTTTAGCTCTAACCCTGTGTTGAAGATGATGTGGCCTGAAGGTAAACTGAGCATCACTGAGGTAACCAAGAGACCTTTGACAGCTGCTACTCTTTTTAAGAACTCCATGATTGCACTAGTGGACAACCTGGCATCGAAGGTAAATATTTATGTTTTAAAATCAACTCCAACTTCTGATTAGTAGGGTGAAGCTTCTCTGTGGAGAAACTGCTACCTTCCTACCACTGCACTCAGTCAGAAAGCCAAGGTGATCAATGGCAGATGAGCTTTGGTTGTGACGGTGGGCAGCTGTGAAGATCGCGTAGGAGAGTTAGCCACCGTCCCCACATAAAGAAGGTGGATTTTGGTTTCCTCTGTGACCAGTGTATGTTTCACTTGTAGGAAAGCCAGTCTCTCTTATATTATATCAAATAAATAATCATCTTTTTAAAAGGTCTTTTGGCAGAAGGCCCAGAGGATGTAGTTTCATGGTGGAGAGATTCTCTCTTTGTGACTTTCAATGCCAAGTGACTTTCATGAAAGTACAGGCAGACCTGTGTGATTTCCTTCTTTCGTCCTCTTCGCTGTGTCAGAGGGTGAGAAGTGAAACCTTTTATTTTACTGAATAATGAAGTTTTATAGTAGAAGGTATTGCTTTGGCAAGCACCACTTTGTGTGAAGAAAGGCAGATAAGGGAATGAACTGGGAAAGGGACTGTTTGAACGTGGTACAGCTGAATGGCAGGATGAGGCAAGCAGTGTGATCCCTCACGTGAGCAGAGATCACTAAGAAATACTTGGGTGTTACTGATGCCGGGTGACTTTGCTGGACTCCTGGTGTTTTGGTGGTGGTGTGGAAGGGGTATGCAGTCCACAAGAGATTAACCGCGAGCCCTATACGTTAACATTTAGAATAATTAAGCAATAAAGGGCAGTGCGTTCCTGCTATCTTCTCGGGAGTTGTGGTAGCAAAGGAAATGTTAGCGGCCCAAGGTCTGGAGGGAGAAAGTGCACGCAGATGTGGTAAGGCTAGGAAAAGCTTTGTAGAAAGATGATCCTAAGCTAATAAGAAGACCCAGTGAAGAGCAAAGCACTATTTGAATTTTTACTTGGAGTGGCAGCCTCATGAGTAACAAAGTCTTGATAGATGCTGTATTGATCAGAGCATGGTGATACAGTGCTGGCTGTGCACAGGAAGACCAAGCTATCCTCACTGGGAATATGACAAGAAATAATATATTACTTCGTGTTTTCCAGACTTAGGAGATGAAAACACGCTTGCTTTATATTTTTGAGTTCTAGTTCTGGAGTGGATTTAATCTTCAGCCATAGATCTGCAGAAGGGTGTGCAAGCCTGACCAGAGCTGTCTCAAGGTGCTAGCTGAGCTTCCCGACAGAGGAATGATGCCCCATAGCTCTCCCCAGTACTGTTGGACTAAAGGCTGCTAAGGGGATGCCCGTGTTAGCCCAGCCAAAGGCCAGGTCTTGCTTTAAGCAGGCAGTGTTAGTAGAAATTGAGAGAGGTCCTACCCTACCGCCTGGGCAGCCAGAGGGGAGCTTTCCTGGATGGCAAATCATGAGCTGTTGGGGCTGGAGAAGGTTGTGACCCTGATGGAAGGGAGATGGGGACAGACTTTAGTCTGACTTTCCAAGGAGTCAAGATTTACCTCATCTGTAGTCCTCCAGATAATTTGCTGGTTAGCTCTAACCTAAATTTGGTATAGAGTTGTCAAGAACCCAGAGAGATTTCTCTGTGTGTTGTGAAAATGAGTAGTTGGGGAAGGAAGAAGATTCTGATTGATGCCGCTTGTTAATGCAGTTCTCTGTCGTACAGAGCAGTCACGTTTCTGTTGCCTAGCCTAACGGGTAGGGAACGTGACGCATCGAGGTGTTTCAAGCAATACAGACAGAAACTGCTGGGGCTGTTGTAGTGGAGGGCTGTGATCAAGGGGGGATGGCAGGGAGCTGTTCGTGGGGAGGTTTGGCAAGCGTTTGTGGAAAAACTTCGTTTGCTTGTTTATTGGAAAAATTACTCTAGGCCACCTGGTATTTGTAAAAATAAAATAGTCAAAAGAATACCTGCACTGTGGTGGTTTGAACAATTCCTGCAACTCACAGCAGGAGATGAAGAGTTTAAATAGTACGTTATCCATCTTGAGTCGGTAGGTACCAGAATTCGTCATTGAAGGCTGGCTGGCTCCTGTGAAATGAGTTAGTTTCAGACCATTTATCATCAGTATCTCTATCACAAATGCCGGCCTTTTCCAAGGATAGGCCATAACCAGGAACTGTTTCCAAGTCAAATTTAAGCTTGTGAATTCACTAGGAGCTCCCTGTGTGTGTCTCAGGATAGTCCTTTCCCATTCCTTACCTTCCCTAAACTTTCACTGAGAAACTTGCATTGAGGATGTTGGGGTTTTCCTGCTTTTCTTTTGAATCTTAATGGAGAAAATTGTCTTAGAGCATTGCATTTCCCGGAGACTTAAGGATCCCATGAAAGAAGAGGCTGTCATTAAGCAGGTGTGTTTGTCAGAACTTAACAGGGCTCCTGCCAAGCAGGAAGGGGCCAAGGGCTGTCTTGGCTCTGCAGGGTTTTATGGCCAACCTTTAGCATGATGGAGGGCTGGAACGAAGGGGGTGAAATTCGCACTTTGGAGGCTGCTGTTGAAATGTTTACAAGGCTAATGCTCCTTGCAGAACAGTGCTTGTAGGTACTTACGTTTGCAAACTAAGTTATGTAGTTGAGCTGTAGCTATTTTTAGTGGAGAACCTGGCTGTTACACATCTTAAAAACCCCCAAAATTTGGTGAGGCCCATCCTGAACTCAAGCTTATATCACTTTGAAAGGTTGAAATTTTCATGTATCCTAGAAAGGCAAGGTTGCTTGGTTAAGGGTCCTGAACACGATCATGGTGTAGTTCAAACAGGAAAACAGTGAAGAGAGATTGTGCTTCTGGTTGGCCATTCTACCCTGAGGATCTCTTTGAGGTGACTTTTCAGACAGTTAATAATAATATGTGCATGTTATTAACAAGCTAATAACTGGACATTCAAGCCATGCTTTCCTAGATACTGGTTATGCACAAATAAATGGGATGCTCTGCCTCTGAGTCATTGCCAGTTTAGATACTTGTCTCAGCTCTCTTACTTCTGCTGGGGGCTGGAGAACGGTGAACAGTTGCTGTTCCTGGGCTGGTAAAACCGCTGTCTCTTTTGGGGACACCACTCATTGCAGTTACGGGTACTATAATTCCTCCCTTGGGTGGTGTTACTCATTTTTCCCGTGCTTAACTTGGGACTGGAGTTGCACTCCTGGGGATCAGCAATGACAACGTCGGGGTGCGTGTGACCGCGGTTTGGAGCCTGCAGGACTTTTTTTTGGGAAGCCTGTGGTAACAGCTGATGAAAACAACTCTCTGAAAACAGCGTTGCACAAGCGGTGGTAGCTGCTGTGGTCTACGGATGTCAGAGGAATAAGGTTCCATTGGGAGAGGCAATATCAGTTCATGTTTTTCTCAGCTGTTCCTCAGGAAAAAAAAACGATGAAGATAGGCTTGAATTTTGTTGCAGTTTGAGCTGATAATTTAAGTTTACCAGAGTGTGCCCAGTATGTAAGTGCAGTCAGTGCTGCTTTTCTCATCCTGGCCTCCCATTCCACCTGGGCTGTTCTTGCTTGCTTAATGTTTCTTTATAAACTGTTTTAAAGCATATTTACGTGCTCTGTTTCTACTGTCCTCGAACGAAATGACAGTCCAAGAGCTCTTCTTCATTGATACTTATTTGACCTTCCTGGAAAGCTGCACGTTTTTTGGCAGTATCAACAGTATCTTTAAACCTCTCATTTGGGGGAATAGTCTCCAAAAATACTAATTTGGTGAGCAGGAATAATAATAATAATATCAGAAACAAAGCCCAGAGCCTGTGAATACAGTACCTGCAGCATTAGTTGGTTATTTAACTTTTCCAGTATTTAAAATAACCGCCTTTAAAATTCTGGTTTGTTGGTATTCTAGTTTAAATCTGGAATTTGGTGATGAAGCGGAGTTGGAATCATGGAATCATTATGGTTGGAAGAGACCTCAAAGATCATCAAGTCCAACCGTATACCCAATGCCACCATGCCCGCTAAACCCACTAAACCGTGTCTTGAAGTGCCACATCTAAACGTTTTTTGAACACCTCCAGGGATGGTGACTCCACCACCTCCCTGGGGAGCCCGTTCCAATGCCTAACGACTCTTACAGTCAAGAAGTTCTTCCTAATGTCCACCTGAACCTCCCCTGCTGCAACTTGAGGCCGTGTGCTCTTGTCCTATCACTAGTTATCGGGGAGAAGAGACCGACCCCCGCCTTGCTACCCCCTCCTTTCAGGTCTTTGTAGAGGGTGATCAGGTCTCCCCTCAGCCTGTCTCCCCTCAGTTCTGTGATCCCTGAGAAGAAGGGGTGGGTGGTGGTGATATTAGGGTGTCAGATGTTTCCATTGGGGTGAGTAGCATAGAAGTGTTGTCAACGCTGCAAGAGCTGTTCACAGATACAGTTTGAACTTCAGGCTGTGGATACACATGTCCATACAAGTATGGAGACTCAGGAGATATGTTTTTGGAGGATGCTGAGTTGAAGTGGCGCTTATCAGCCCTGGTATCTCAATACTGTAATCCTGCAGACTTACACTGAGAGTCTTTTGGGCAGAAACCTCTGGTAGGTTGAAAAAGGGGGGGGGGGGGGGGTGGGTTGTTGTGTGTTTGGGGTTTTTTGTGGGGTTTTTTTGGTTTTTTGTTTGGGTGTTTTGTTTTTTTTTTAAAAAAAAAAAAAAAAACAACAAACCAACCAAACCATAAACAAGCTTTACAGAGTTGCCATGTAACATTTGTCAAGCACATGTTTTACTGCCCATGCCGTTCGCTTGAGGATTTGGTCTTTCTGTGATGGATTACTTTGGGTAGCTTTTCTTTTAAATACTGACACGGGAAGTCCTTTGGCTGACACGGCTGTAAATGATGAGCTTTTCTAGGAACTCTCTCTGGACATGCATCTCTTTGTTTTTTTTTCTTTTTTTCCTTTTCTTTTTTTCCCCTCCTGCTCTGTAACTCCTTTTGTCTGACTCTTCTTTCTTCCATACCGCTCCTCTCCTACCAAGGTTGACAGGCTTCATCTCTAGTAAGTTATAATGTCATCTTAGTGACTGATTGGACATATCCAGCACAAATTTGTCAGTCCTGTGTCCCATCCCTTCTCTCATCTAACAAGCTATAAACTATGGAAAAGAAATCACTCAAGGAGGAGTTTATTTAGGGTGCAATAACTTTAAACTGGTTTGTTTTCTTTTTAACACTTCAAAATCTAAAAATTCCTCTGCTTGATTTTAAAAAATAAAATAAAATTCAGTTGCAATTAGGCTTCTAAACAGCTTTCAGAACTGGGGCCTTTGTGTCTCTGTATTTCAGTTCTTCCATTTATAAAATGCAGCTCCTAGGCTTGACAGCCTCATGGTGCAATAAAGGGAGCTGCATAATTATCCCCCTGAAGAGCTGAGGCTGGTGGGATTGTAAGCATGGAATAATCTACTTTAGAATTTACCCTAGTAGCTGTCATTGCCGAGAGGCTTTAATTACACTGTAATTGCACTGATAGATGATCTCCTGTCTGTGCAGGAACTTCCTATTTCGGTTTTCCAAAAGGAAAGCATCGTCTTGACTTCTGCCTTTTATATCCAATGCAGATACAGTCACTCCTCTTTGTGCTGGGCTTGAAGCCACAGATTTTTTTGCCTTGAGATTTGTTACGTTTTTGAATGGCAAAGGCATGAATGACAACCCAAGCAGCCAGCTTTGCAGTGATGAAGGGCGTTGATGTATTAGCAATAATGAATAGCTGTGAACTGGACGACATAATGTCAGTAGTGAACAAGTGACACCATTTCCCTTGAGGCAGAGGGCTGGGATGCACTTTCTTGACTTCATGCTCCTCATGACTTCTTTAATTTGGTTCCTGTGTTCTCAAGATGTTGCAGTTCTGCGGATCGAATGTGGAATATTTGTGATTATCGATCTCATCAAGGGATTTATAGTCATCCTGACATCAGATGCAACACAACAGTATTGAGGGCGGATCTGGCATGGTCTGGCATTATTCTGATGTTAGTGATCCTGTTGCTAACGCTGAAATAGGTTTCTCCTTAAGGGTGAGTAACATGAGGATGGAGAAGTGGCCCAAGCTGAATATTAGCAAGAAGGGATGGGGAGAACTGCAGACCATTCACCTTCACAACTGCTTCGCTTTCACTTTCACAGCTTCTAAGTTCAAGTGTAATTCAGGGAGTTCTCTGAATATCCTACATTTTCCTTAAATAGCTTATTTCCAGTCATATAGGAGACTTGTTCTAGCAGATGAATGACCTGACCTTTGTTTCTTGCCATACAAATGAGAGATTACAGTAGAGAGCTTATAAATTGCAGACATCAGGTCCAGAAAACTCCTACTCCTCATCAGTTATAGCTGCCATGACCGCATCAAACCTACTTCAACTCTGATTTGAAGTTCAGAAAGGGCTGCTTCTACCTTCATGGTTTGACACACAATGTCTGAGAGAGCGTGAAGAGCGGCGATGACAACTGTGTTCCCATGGCACAGCCAAGCTCTACAACTGAAGGGAAAATCATCACCCACGCAGACTGCAAGTTATGAGAACTGGTAGGAGACTGTCAGGTGAATAAAGACCTTTGCAAACCTTCTTATCTTCAATGCTGAGATAATTTTCAGGAGAAAGCCAAAAAAGTTAATACGTAAGTCTCTTAGAACTCTTCAAATTATACCAGCATGTTATATTTCACCATCCTGTCCTTAAGGAAAGGAGAATAAATAGAACAGGTATGGATTGCGTTGAATTACCCTGGCAGAAGAAAGTGCTTGGTGTGGCGATGACCTTGGTAGAAGACCTCACACAGAACAGAGCTATCGCTTGGCTGCCTGGTGTCCTGAGGAAGCTGTGTCCTTAGTGTTCCTTCTTTTTTTGAGCCCACCACTCTCTGAAGATATGAAAAGAAGAGGAGGATGAAGGGATCAGTGCCCAACCAGGGGACTCAGCCGGTTCTTTGGAAGTGGGGCAGTTTTCTCCACTGCATGCGGCTTTGCCTCAGTCTCCCTGGTAAGGAAAGGAGCCAAACAAGACTGTGAAAGAGCTATCCCTGATGCACTTCGTGGGGAGAGATGAAGTCACTAGGGGAGAAGGGAGATGATATAAGAATGTATATTGCCCACATATCCTTCTCTTTACCCACGCACTCCCCATACCTAGTTACACGCTCCTGGGTTGCTGCATGGAGGGTGGGCAGCACAGGGATGCTGCCAGCTCTTCTGTGGGTGGTTGGCTTAGATTTTACTCACTCTCCTCGGTGCCGTATATTCCTAACCCAAGGACAGCCCTCGGGGAGAAAAGCACAGCCTGATGCTACTGATTGCACACTTAAGAAAGCAGGGAAACGTTCCAGTCCAACACCTTCCTCAGAAGATCTGGTGGTTTGTTTCAGTTTCTAGGATACGAGTCTCTGCATTTCCAAGGCCTCTGTCTCTTAGCCTGTTCGTTACTCGTTACTCGTATTCAACCTATTCATACTCATTAGTGAGTGGAAGCTCCGTGTGCCTGTCATCAGCGCTGCATACCTCCAGGTTATGTCAGGGCTAGGCAGGGTAGTCAAGGATGATCCTGTTTCTTCAGTAATTCTGAAGGGAAAATAGCCATTTTGGGCCTTTCATATTATCCTGAGATTAGGTAAGTGACCTAAAATCATCGAAAATAGGGCTAAATCATAGACAAATAGTAGAAAACAGGGCTAAAGGGGACCTTGGGAGTGCACCTAATTCACCTCCTCTTTGAGGACACCTCTGCCTCGATTTTCTCTTTGCAGGTGCTTGTTCAGGCTGTTCCTTTCTAGCGATGGACGATCCCCTCCTTTCCGCAGGCATTCTGCTCCCATTCCTGGTTTTCCTAATGCCTAATTTGAATTTTTATACTGTAGTTAAAGCCAGTACTTCTTTGTCCCAAGCCTGAATATTTACTTTTCTTCCTATCTACCCTTTAAATACATAAAATCTAACATCGGGATGGTTATGTGGCTCCTTAGTCCTTCTAGACTAAACCCATATTTCCTCTGAGTCACATTTTCTGGATTTTTGATCTTTCTTGTTCTTCCCTGAACTGACTCACCGCCACTTGAACTGCAGTGCCCTAAGCTGCCTGTGATGTTCAGATAAGTAGAAATCTGTTGGGTTTGTGGGTTTTTTTTTCCTTACAGTTTTCCTGTTCCTGTGCCCCTTCCTTAGAAAAACATGAACTTGACTCATGTTCAACTAGAACTCCTAGATGGTTTTTTGGGCACTGGTATCAAATCAGTTTTTCATTCTTTTATTATACAACTATTTCTGCCTAAAGGTGGAACTTTGCATTTGTCCTCACTAAATTAATCCTTTTTTTTTTTTCTTTTTTCTTTTTTCCCAGACCACTCCTCCCATTTCTTAATGTTGTGGGTTCTTGCACTCTGAAACTGCATATTGCCTACAGATTTAGTACCCACGTTGTACTCCTTCATTCACATCACTGTTGAAGCCATCCAGTAGCACTGGAACAGAACAGACTCCTTTGGAAAACCCTTGGGGTTTTGCCTTTTGAGAAGGGGCCTCTGCTTACTCAGAGAAGTTTTACAGATGGTTTCACAGTCACCTGTTTCATCTAGTCCAGGAGAAACTTGCTAAAATTTCATTCTTAATTATCACTTGTGATTGTGAAAGGTGACATCTTCTAATATTAAAATGTCAGACAGGCTGCTTATCTCCCTTTATCATAATGTTAGCATTGCTGTAAACTGATTTTTTTGAAATGCTCCAGTTTAGGTGCATCTTTGACATGTCGTCTGAAGAAAGTCTCTGGGCTTACTGTGACCTTCTGAGCTGACTGGGATCCTCTTATGAGTTCTCTCCTTGGCTAGTGATGAGACTGGGTGGGCAATAAACTCTGCCAGCCTGCAAAATATGCCACTCCTTTTGCAAGGGATATGTAAAAAATAATATATATTAATGTTCTAAGAATACAATTTCACCTTGAAAAACTAAAGTGGGCCTTTATGACGCTTATTAATTGCTTTTCCCTGCACCAGTAAAGTTAGAAGTGGGATAGCAAGGGCTAGCTATGAAGAGAAGGGAATAAATGGACTTCAAAACCCAGCATGATAAAAGTACCTAAGTTTAAAAGACTTATAACCAGCCCTTACAAGCTGGTGCTAGTTATAGACCATGTTGGCCTAAAAGAAAGTTTACTTTAGTCACATAAAAATAAAAGTAAACATCAGAACAGTTTGGCAGGATGGTATATGGGACTTATCTGATGGGTGCAGGCTGGCTGGCAGTGAAAAAGATACATGACCCTGTGGGACTGTCACCTGAAGGTCCAGGGCCAGCCTAGTCAGCTTGGGGCAGGACCACCTGGGCTGTGCACGATAGAGTAAAGCCACCAGTCCCGGGTCAACGTTCTCTGCCGCCTGCAAGTCCAAGGTGGTGCAGAAAGAGGAACTCGTGTGCCGGTGGCTTGGTTTTGTCTGTGGAAGGTGTGGGCTGGAAGGTAGCTGAGTTTTGCCCTGCATAGGGTGGGGTTCAGTGATTTCCATCATTCAAGCCTGTTGATACAGGGTGTAGAGGACTTCATTCAGCATAGTTTAAAAATTATGGAGTAATCCATGCTACTTTTAGTTCTTGATACTGGAAAAGCCATATCCGACAATCAGGGCAATGAATTACATTGTTTTTTCTATCTTTTCTGAAGACTCTTTTTGTTGTCATCAAAGTCGGTAGAGGAGGAGGACATGGAACTGGTTCTGACGTAAAGCAAAGGTCAATTGAACTCGAATGAGTAACACGTGGATCCTGTAACAGATGTTGTTGCAGTGTGCGAAGGGGAGGAACGTGTTACATGCCACCCTTGTCATTTCTGTTCTAACCTTGTAATTCCTGTTAAGCAGCCAAACCTCATTCGGATGACTGGGGTGGACTGACACCTCAATGTTTTCTTGAGGAATCAGTTGTGTCTGCATAGACTTTTTTTCTTTCTGAGTGAAACTCGGTTTGATTTATCTCCTCAGGAGCCCTATTATGTCCGTTGCATTAAGCCCAACGATAAGAAGTCACCACAGCTTTTTGACGAGGAGCGTTGCAGGCATCAGGTTGAATACCTTGGCCTTTTGGAGAATGTGAGAGTCCGCCGAGCAGGCTTTGCCTACCGCCAAACGTACGAAAAGTTTCTTCACAGGTAAGAAGAGTGCTGGCAAGTGATTCAGTTCAGCTCTTTGCAGGACAACTTGGACATCGGAACGAGGCCTGTCATTTGTCCGTCTCTCCTTGAGCAAAGAGTAAGTCTTAAGTCCTCTGGGCTTGTGATCTTCCCTCTTGAGCATATGGGAGGTGGTGTGTTTGGTTTAACGTCTGCTGTTGGGTATGATAAAACATGAGTCTAACAGAGGCTCTGGTTGCTCTCGTTTTGTGGCAGCAGATGTGTTTTGAGTTGTGTATGTGGCACTCAACTTCTTTTCTGCTAAAATTCATTTGCTGTATTACAAAGAATGCGTAATGATGTTCTTCCCCAGAGCATAACCCTAAAACCAGAGCTAATTAACTTCTGTTTTCTCTCTGAACATTGTCTAATTGTTGGAGCGAGAGAGACAGACAGACATGGTGTGTCTTGGGAAGTGCTTGATGGCATGCAGTGACATTACCGGTGTGCAGGGGGAAACCTCTGGACTTTAAACCTGGAAGTCTGAAAAACAAATAGTAACGTGACCCCATTAAAACGTGTTTTTGATACTTCTTGCCCTCTTAATTCCTACCAGACTTGGGACAAATGAAACGTTTTAGATTGAAATTTGTCTTACAGCGTCAGTAAATTAACATGGGTATTAAGAATTCAACCTCTTGCTGATGAAATAGTGAATTGATTTTTTACTTCTGTTATTGAATCCGGTGAGAAAAAGGCCATCAGGGTAGAAAAAAATTAAACTATTCAAGCAGGTGGGATATCATGTGTTAGAAACGAAGTGCTGTTGAAGGATCTTTTGCTGTTCACAGTGGAGATTTGCCTGGATATTTTGTGATACCTGAAGTGGAACGAAAGGGTCTGGCTTGCTAAATACAGCCTACAGTGCTGTGTATCAGTTTTCTTAAACATTATGCAGTGGTTAGAGCGTGCTTTTGCCCTCAAATGTGGAATTCATTACAATTCACTCTTCAGATTTGTGTAATTACTATTAATATAAACAGCTGCTTTGTTTTTAATAAATGTTTGATGAGCTTCTGTAAGCTTAAGAACAGAAGTTGTGTTTACAGCCAGTAAACCAAATTAGCACATGGCAACTGGTACGGCTTTCAGGCTATTGTAACATTTGTTCTGCCGGACCCTGGAGTAGGATTAAACACCTACAGTGTGAGGTATCAGACACTGTGTTTGCATATCGCGGTATTGCTCCGAGTCCAGTCTACACTGACTTTTCTAAGTTAAATAAATAAATAAATAAATCTTCTGGCCCGGATATTTTTTTTTATTTTTCCCCAAATTCTTTGTTCCTTGTCTTTGGGTGAGATGTACCCTCTTACAGGGGCTTGGGGGTAAGATTTGTAGTACAAGCCACACATTTTTTTGAGCCGTTTTTGAACAGGGATCACAAGGGATTTCGGTTCCTTTGTATTTAACAGGCCTATTGGGAGACTCGGAAGGTGGAGGAGACTGCAGGCCCTTCAGCTCTGGACTCCTGCACTGCATGTGGGGCATGTTTTGAGACAGATCTAGAGTAACTCAGCGATAGGTGATTTTGGAATGTAACTTTGTCATCTGTTTGCTTACATTTGCAAAAGATGTTATAAAAGCTCAGTCCACAAACAGATGTTTAACTCCCTTACAGGCCCCTGAAGCTTTCAGATTTTCTGAGCCCAAAACAGATAGCTATGTTTTGTTTTGCTGATTCCTCTTAGAGGGGACAGGAGATACACATCAAGGTGTATAGAGATAGGAGATGCATATGCATATATGTTAAAAGCTATATATGAGTGCATGTATGCCTATTTTTTTTAATGTATGTATGTACATGCATATGTAAAAACATATAAAAAAATCACTTTCCTTTCTGTAGGAAAAGTTTGTTGCTATTTAGCCCTAAAAGGGGGAGACCTGCATGGATAAACAAGGAGCTCCTGGACAAACTCAAGCACAAAAAGGAAGCCTACAGAGGGTGGAAGCAAGGACAGGTAGCCTGGGAGGAATACAGAGAAATTATCCGAGCAGCCAGGTATCAGGTTAGGAAAGCTAAAACCCTGACAGAATTAAGTCTGGCCAGGGACGTCAAAGGCAACAAGAAGAGCTTCTATAGGTACATCGGTGATAAAAGGAAGACTATGGAAAATGTGGGCCCTCTTTGGAAGGAAACTGGAGACCTGGTTATCTGGGACATGGAGAAGGCTGAGTTACTCTGTGACTTTTTTGCATCGATCTTCACCAGCAAGTGCTCCAGCCACATGGCCCAAGTTGCAGAAGGCAAAGGCAGGAGCTGGGAGAATGAAGAACCACCCACTGTAGGAGAAGATCAAGTTCGAAACCATCTAAGAAACCTGAAGGTGCATAAGTCCGTGGGACCTGATGAGATGCATCCACACATCCTGAGGGAGCTGTCAGACGAAGTGGCTAAGCCACTGTCCATCGTATTTGAGAAGTCATGGCAGTCCGATGACGTTCCCACTGACTCGAAAAGGGGAAGCATAACCCCCATTTTTAAAAAGGGGAAAAAGGAAGACCCAGGGAACTACAGGCCAGTTAGTCCT